ATGTCCCTGATCTACTCAAAAACAGGAAGTTCTGCATTATGTACAGACTCATAGATGTCAAAACATCATGTTAAGTTAATGTGATAAAAGTGTGAGAAAGTCTATTTTTTTTTAAGTCATATATTGTAATAATTAAAAATGGTTTAAGAAACTAAAGACTGAATATAGCGAGTGAAGATATGCAAGTTTGTTTGGAAACAGCTCCGCTCTGTGGTTATTACAGTAACTGCAGTTCACGCCACTGTGGAGTTAACAGCATACACAAACAGATAATTTAATGCAAGACTTATTTACTCATGCAAATGCTAATGTTAGAACACAAACAAATGAACAATAAATAAACATTAGCAGACTTTTGTCAGAGAGGAGATCTATTAACAGAATTAGCAAATCTTGAACGACTAACAGAATTACAAAACTTCAATAGAGACTCATTTGCAGGATTCCTTAATAATCTGGTTCGGATTCTTCACCAGTGTGGCTAACATGGACATGAAGTTGGGCTTCTGTACGGCAGGTTTACCAGAGGCAGAGACTTTCTTCTGGTTCCCTCGTTTAATCTTGGGCTTCACGCTGAACAGATCTGTGGGCGTCCTGAACCCATCCGAATCCTCAGAAATCTCTTCCTGCTGCTCATTCTGAGCTTCACGAATCTCTCCACGCTTGTGCTTCTGTCGAGGGCTTTTCCTCTGTTCCGCAGTTTCCGCAGCAACAGTTTCAGGGGTGTCATCAAACATCAGCACCCGCCGCGTTCCGTCTATGCCATCAGACACTTCCTGCTTGTTCGATTTAATATAGGTCAGTGGCCCTTGGCTTGGTATTGTTGGCAGAATTCGGCCCTCTGCGAAAACTAATTGAGGAACCCTGCTGTAAATAGTCTTTCACTTTCTGCTTGTTGAGTCTTTAAGATGTAAACTTCACAAGCTTGTACTCATTGTTCTGGACAAACCATAACTGGGCTTTCTAAAATAAACATAGCGCTACAGAAACCCTTCATAATATCAGTGTGATATCAGTGCAAAACATAACATACCCCTTCTCCCGATGGCGGAGTCTCTGAGGGTGCCACTTCTTAAGCAGTACCCACACATCACAAGATAAAGATGCTGGATCTAATATACAAAGAAAAAAAAACATTTTTGGTAACATGATAACACGTGCTTTATATTACATATTAATCTCTTAGAGTCTCATTTCTATAAACAGCACATCTGAAATGTTTACTTGTATCTCTGCTTTTCTGTTTTGGGGTCGGCTGTTTTCTCATCTTGGCGAAAAGTCTCTGGCATTCTCTGCATCTTACAGTATCAACAGGACAAGAGGGCGAGCTGGGACCCGATTCCACTGTGAGATCGGTACTGGATTCGTCCAAAACAGACTCAAGCTCTACCCGAGACTCAACCTCAGTCTTGGTCTCAGAAGTATTAGCCCTCAACCTGAGTTTCTCTAGAGTGTCCTCAGCCATTGCATCTGGAGCCAGGGAGATCTTCTGAACCGCTCCATGTTGTTGTTCCACAAGAGAAAGCGGTCTCTCATCTTCTTTTCTCGCTCGACATGATGCACCAGCTCTACTCTTCCTTACTGGCCGCTTCATATCATGAATAACAGACACATGGTCTTTTATTTCCTCCACACTCTCTGACTGGCTAGAGTCAGTGTCACTCAACACCACACAGATGCTCTCAGAGTCCTTCACATGTTCTCGCTGTTGACGCCTTCGGCTTCTCAGGACTGTGTTGCGCCGCAGTTTCATAGAGACAGATTTGGTAGTAACCTCACTGAGAACCAAGATATTCACCTGTGATGAAGAATTAGAAAAATCAAACTAATCAAACAACATCATATCCAAGTTACTAAGCAAAAGACTTCCTCTAGGCGATGTTTTTTTTTACTTTTTATCATCACTCATTAAAGTGATTTCTACCTCACTGTAGCATCCTGACTCTTGTCTTGGAGTAAAGTTAGTGAGGTAGTGGTAATATGCCCTGAAAACAATAATAAAGCACTTAATCACCTCACAAATAGCATATTTTCCTTTTTTTAACCTGAAACATTTTTATTTGTACGTTACTCTGTTCGTTTTGGTTTACTCGACTGTCTCGTGAAGCACTCTTTGAATAACCATATCACATATTTCTTACTCCCTCTCGGAATGTCGACAGTCTGTTTGTTGTAATAACATGTCCATCGTTTCAAAAAACCGAGTTCGAAGAAGATCAATCCAACACGAAAACGTAGTTTTCTGATTACCTCAGTATAGCTGCACTGTTGAGCCGCCAGATACTCGCGAGACCTGGCTGTCATCAACCGGAAACTGTAGTTCAGAGCAGCCATAAGGGGGCGCTGCAGGCTTTTTTTTTTTTTTGGTCTGAGGAAGCCAACTTACTAATAATATCATACCGAGAACCATAAAAAAAGTCTTGTTAATTTTTTTTATGTCATTACATTGGTTGAAGGATAAGAAACCAATGGAGAAAAACATTTTTGAAAAAAATATATTTCATTCATATTTTATTCTATGCCCTTTGTAGAGGACACCAGGACTAAGTTATTCAAAACAATAAACAGATATGAAAAGGCATGTATAGGCAAAAACAATGTTTTATTATTATAGTTTTTTTTCATTCACCAATCACTTTTTAGGTTTCAGGATATTTTTAACCAAACTTTGTACAAAGATGATTCTTAAAACCATGTTATGAAAAATATGACAGAATGATTTGATATATACTATTTAACTATGCAATACGTGCGTAAAATATCCATAAATTGGTATTCCCATTATATACAATGTATCTATACATTGCATCTAATTTGCATATTAATGTGTTCTTGGGGCAAACCATAATGAAAAAAGGTGTTATAATGGGAGTAATTTTTCATAGGAATATTGATCATATTTCATAGGAATATTGATCTATAATTTCTTTCCCTATTGACCCCAAAATGCCTGATTAACATGCCATTTGTTCTGGTGTCCTCTACAGAACCCCATAACATTTTTCTGAGATGTTTATTTACGACAAACAATTTGAAAATTAGTCCGATTTAAATGATAATTACAAACCATTATATTTCCCTAAGAGTGCTAAATTTGATCATACTGTTAGTATCAGTCATATTTAAAGACCAAGAAGGTGTGTATATGATCAAACCTCCAAACATCTGATACCTCTAAAAAGCCCTGAATGTGCTCTGTACAGGACATCCGGAATAAAACTGTGGCATATGGTCTCAGAGAAATTCACTAAAATATGTCCTCTACAGAGGACAAAAGTCTATGCCTGGGTCCCAGGAGGATATTCTAAATTTTGAATTCTAACTAAAATTTCTGACTCTTCAAGCTTCCGCGACTTGGTATCAGTCTGCCTTAAAACATGAAGATTCTAGGTTTTAAGTTTCTATATGGCCATAAAAAGTCATGATTAATTAATTAGTCATGATTAATTAGATGAAACAATTAGATTGTATTTGTCTGTGGTCATACAAATGCTTAATGTAGGCTAAAATGCAGTACTTCCCTTCAAAAGTGATATTTCTTCTTACACATAATGAAAGACAAAATGAAAAAATAAAGAACCAGAACTCACACTTGACATCTCTACTATCAGTGTCCATAAAGAAGAAAACTTCAAATGCCATTTTGCTCTTCAAATGTCATAGACTGATACCTACAACAAAACTTGTTTTTTTCTATGAAATGAATAAAATCCAATTCTGATTTTAACCTAAAAAAAAATCACAAAAACATTATTCAAATGCATGATTTGCCAGGTTACCTGTGCAAAACATCACAATCTATAGATCTATATCACAATCATGCTTGGCTTTGCCATGAGTTAGAATGCTGCATGTTTGCATGCTAAGATCAGACTATGAGTTTCACATGATTTTTAAATTACATTTTGTACTGTATGTTTCATTGAATAAGAAGCACCTGTTAAATAACACCATTCAGAGTAATTTTATAATGTAATAACAAGGTGTAGGATAAAGTAAAGACCCAAAGCTTACAACTTATAACAATGTTTTATTTAACTAGAGACAAAGTACAGATCAGCCTAAGTGCCCTATGGACACACAATTTACGCACCAATTTAAATAAAATAAAAATATTTCTATGAACATAAAATTATAAATTATTTAAATTTAAACCAAAAAAGGTAATTACAATTATTTAAACAGTTTCTGTTAAATATATAATATTATATTAGTTATTTGCATTGAACAGTTCTTAAATTAGAATTGTATACTTCAAACACAGAAAAGCACAGTGGTCCATTTCCTGTAGTCTGTTTGCTTCTCACCATATCCTGTGATGTTTATTAATGGCTTCCCTGTTGATGCTTGTCCTTTGCTACTGAACTGAGGTCAACAAATTTTTTTTTTCACTGTTAGATTTAATAAAACCGGTCATAGATCCATCCGGAAGGTCACAGGTTTTCTGGGAACTGCAGTCGTTACTGCATTAGACAGCTGCTGCTTGGCAGGAAGTCTTGAACATATGTGACCACAGCTTTGGAAAGATAAGTCATAGTGCCATAGCTGCCGCTAGGAGCACTGTCATAAAAGAAGTTACAGATTCCTGTGGCAGGATCCTTCTCCAAGAAATACTCATTGGCCCCGCTGGATCTCTGAAATAAAAGCACATAAGACACAATGTCCAGATGTGCAAAGCTGGAATCTAGACAAAACAGGCACAGTTTGGTGAAGTTAAGATAGTTTTGATATGTTTAGCCTTTTTTCAGCAGTACATAATTCCCATTAATTCCATTTGTGCTATATCATAGTTTTGATGACAAAATCGTAATAATAAAGAACAAGCAGGTGTGTAAATACATGCGAACATACCAAGCTACATATTATGAGCATCATATGTAACATATAAAAAGGCATGATGATACCTGATCCTGTTGAAAGAGATCATTGGCCATGTGGACAATGCGGTCGATGTGAATAATTCCCCCAATACTGGGAATCTCCATGTCAGCTACAAGGGTCAATACCATAATGGCCTCCACCAGCAGCTGTCTGTACTCAGGCTGTGGGACATGATTCAGTACAGACTCCACGTGCACTGCGAACTTGATCTCTCCTTCTGTCATCTACAATAATACACACAGACAACAGTCCATGATTATGGGTATTTAAAGGAAAATTCCAAGTTTAAGGTTCAACGTAATATAATATAGCAATAAAGCAGATCAATATGAATACATTGACATTATTATTATTTTTTTTTATGTTTTTGAAAGAAGTCTTTTATGCTCGCCAAGGCTGCATTTATTTTTCCAAAAATTCTGTACAAAAAGTACAATAATATTGTGGAAAAATAAATACAATTTAAAGTATCTTTCTCTATTTGAATGTATTTTAAAATGTTATTTATTCCTGTGATGGCAGAGCTCACCATTGCTACAAGTTTCAGTGTTATATTATCCTTCTGAAATCATTCTCTCAAGAAACATTTCTTATAATTAGCAATCTTGAAAACAGTTGTGCTGCTTAATATTTTTTTTTTGAAATTGTGATGCATTTTTTCAAGATCCTTTGATAAACAGAACGTTCAAAAGAGCAGCATTTATTTGAAAGAGATTTTTTTGTAACAATGTAAAATACTTTACTGTCACTTTGATACATTTAATGCATCCTTGCTGAACAAATGTGTATGTGTGCAGGTGGATGCACCTCACGGGTGGTGGAGGAAGGCAAGACGTATCCGGCAATGGAGAGGCCGTGACATTTCTGGAGAGCTCACCATTGCTACAAGTTTCAGTGTTATATTATCCTTCTGAAATCATTCTCTCAAGAAACATTTCTTATAATTAGCAATCTTGAAAACAGTTGTGCTGCTTAATTTTTTTTTTTTTAAATTGTGATGCATTTTTTCAAGATCCTTTGATAAACAGAACGTTCAAAAGAGCAGCATTTATTTGAAAGAGATTTTCTTGTAACAATGTAAAATACTTTACTGTCACTTTGATAAATTTAATGCATCCTTGCTGAACAAATGTGTATGTGTGCAGGTGGATGCACCTCACGGGTGGTGGAGGAAGGCAAGACGTATCCGGCAATGGAGAGGCCGTGACATTTCTGGAGAATCTTCCAGACTTTCTGGTAGAAGCCCATGGGCACCCTGTTTATGGCCCCATCCAGTCTGCGTCTCCTCAGCCACTGGCCCTGGCGTTCCTCCCACTGCATGTGTGAGTCACCTGCACCGGTCGGAGACAGGATCCCGCTGGGAGTGGAGGGGCTGCTGCATCGCTACAGACACGCACACATTTACATCAGTATATCATTAAGATATGAGCTGAAAATCTGACTAGTGGGATGTCAGCTTTACAGTGACAACACTTATCAGCACATATAATACACTAAAAAAACTTTTTTATTTATTGAGAACCAACGGACTGAATTCACCCCTCCAAGTTAAATTGATTTTTAATCTTCTAAACTGTAAAAAGTAGTATTTGACATAGTGGAGAGCAGGTGTTAGTGGAGAGGGTTTTGGTAGGTTTTTCTGTAAGTTACCGTGGAACGAGGGGATGTGAAATTACTGCTGATGGAATGACTGCTGGTAAATATCTATGAGAATAAAAGCAGAACATACAAACATTTAAAATTAAAATTAAAATGGAAGGTATTTCAGATGAACGAACAGTTGAGGCATCATACAGAGACTCACAGTCAAAAAGATGCTTCATATGACTGAAAAAGATGTGTATGATATGGGCAAACTGAATATTACTCAAAATTTTCATGCGAATACTGGTTTCATGGTCTAGACAAATGTGCTGTGACCTCTAGACAGAATGGGCTCTGCACAAAAAAGCTACTCTTAAGTATTAGCACAGCATGCCAATATTACAAACTCAACCCACACTTATGGGTCTGGAGTCATCAAGCTGAAAACAAAATAATATAAATGCCATTTAAGGTACAGTAGTGAAGAAATTTATATTTAAATTGAACAGTAAATATTTCCCAATTTTTGAAACACAAAAACACTTAAAAAAATAAATTACAGACATTTCTCTTTTTTCACTCCACCTGTTTGATTTCAGTCTTGAGCTTTCTGATGCCCGTACGCTCTGTCTTGGTGGCCCCTGTGTGTCCAAGCTCATGGATGGAGATGGCGGGACTGGTCGCTGAAGACTGAATCGGACGCACTTTCACATAATATAGAGCGATTAATGAAGAACAGCTCACACAAGAGATCACACAATTGTGTGTGTGTGTGTGTGTGTACGAGGAGGCAAAGTCCTCAAAGTTTTTT